GCGGAAGCCTCCAACCTAATGGCGATGGCCTCCAACCTAATAGCGATCGCCTCCAATCCAATAGCAATGGCCTCCAACCTAATAGCGATCGCCTCCAACCTAATAGCCAATAGCGATAGCCTACAACTAGCGATGGCCTCCAACTTTGAAGTTTGCTCGGTTTCTCAAAGGTGAAAGCCTGTGCTGAGTAAGATACCTCTGCGTTCTCAGAGTGCAGGTCTGGCCATCCCGCCCAAATTGAACACAGCTGACCTGCGAATCCGGCCTGCACGCACGCACGATTTGCACACCACTTCAGCATTGAGTAGAATGTTAAAAAAAGTTTGAAGCTGAGTTCCTGACACCTAGCTTCTTTGATTGCATTCTATGTACAAAAAATGACGAGGTGATATGAACTGTACACCATTTCGTGTCAACATGTCCTTGCAACGAATTGCTGAAACGCCGAAAGCCCGCCTCTCCAGTGGCCGAAAGCGCGCAGCCACCCGGATGCTCTCCTGTCTATTTTGGCAGAAAAACAGTTGTCCCCTTTTGAGGGAGAAAACATAGTTTCCAATGTCTCACAGTCTGCCTCCTTTGGAGAACGTCTTTGGCATCCGTCGTCTTCCCATTCGAGCACTTCAAGACCTGCCGGATGTGGGGTTGTTGACGCATGTTCCAGGTAAAGCACATCTGCTAAAGAAAGTCTCCTGGAAAAAGAGATTCACCCAACTTGTTCCAAGGTGAGAGGGGTCAATGCCTGCTGCACGAGGGGTATCAAAGCTCGAAACGGGGCGGCTCAGGTTTGCACAGGAGCTCCACCTGCCAGTCTGGTAGTGTCAACTGTAGCGTTCTTGTTCCTAGTAGTAAGGCCAGGAGCCCCTAGTAGCGTCCTTGCTCCTAGTAGCGATGCCAGGAGCCCCTAGTAGCTTCTTGTTCCTAGTAGTAAGGCCAGGACCCTTAGTAGCGTCCTTGCTCCTAGTAGCGAGGCCAGGAGCCCGTAGTAGCGTCCTTGCTCCTAGCAGCAATGCCAGGAGCCCCTAGTAGCGTCCTTGCTCCTCGTAGTGAGGCCAGGAGCCCCTAGTAGCGTCCTTGCTCCTAGTAGCAATGCCAGGAGCCCCTAGTAGCGTCCTTGCTCCTCGTAGCGAGGCCAGGAGCCCCTAGTAGCGTACTTGCTCCTAGTAGCGATGCCAGGAGCCCCTAGTAGCGTCCTTGCTCCTCGTAGCGAGGCCAGGAGCCCCTAGTAGCGTCCTTGCTCCTCGTAGCGAGGCCAGGAGCCCCTAGTAGCGTCCTTGCTCCTAGTAGCGATGCCAGGAGCCCCTAGTAGCTTCTTGTTTCTAGTAGTAATTTGCAAACCACTTGTAATTAAGCTGTCAGCCTGGGAGGTGTCCAAGCGAAAGCATCTGCAGCGCCTTCCTGGGAAGGTTACACTGAAGAAACACAAGGCAGGCCGTGCGCATTCTCGGCGGCCCTCTGTTTTTGACAGACGAAAAGCGTTCCCGCGTGGGTTGATGTGCACTTTTTCAAAGTTGAGGCTGTTGATAAATCACCAACAAAGTGCGAAACGTTTCTGAAGGCCGAACAGGTGACAGCGTTCTGAATTCAATGACAATGTTTTGAAGCCGATGACAATGATTGAAGCAAAAGCCAAAGACACTGTCCAGTCACTGCCACCCCTGCTTCCTGTGTTGGGGTCCCCTTTGTTGCTTGTATGTCACTTACTGCTATGATGCTCTTGCGCATGCTTCACAAGACTCATATGCCATACCATTTCGCTCAAGGTCAGACAAAAACATGCACTTAGAGTCTAAGACTTAGAGCTTCAGACCAGAGCTCATTTGCTTGCACCCACTCGATCTCGTGAACTTGTCTCTTTTTGGTCAAACTTCACCACTGCCACTGCAAGGGATACCTCCCACCACCAACCAACCAATTTTTATCATATGGTCATCCGATGACAATTTTGTGAAAATGACTTGATGTTGTATGGAAAAAACATGAAAAAACATGAAAACTATGACGAGCACATATGAACCGTCCAGTGCCGCGAATGCAGCACCCTCCCGAACCAGCCAGGCTTTTCTACTCTAAAGTGCACTTGCCCAGGCACGATCGAAATAGAACCCTTTCGTTGCCCCTCGCCTACCACCAAAGAGGAAATCATGGCCTTAGACCTACTAGCGATGGCCTCCAACCTACTAACGATGAAGAAACCCTGATCCAAGAACATCCTCTTCTGAGTGATCAACTTCTCACTGGCATAGTTCTACTGTGGACATGTTCGTCAAATGCACGTTCAGGAAACAAAGGACTCGTCATTTCAACTGCTATTAACACTGTGATTATGCGAAACTTCGACTTCAAGTGTACGAGAAGGACCTGGGGCTACAAGTGCGTCTTCCATGCAAGCTCAAACACTTCGGGATGCACCTCTGTCAGAGAAAAGAATGATGGATTCTCCATATCATCCTTATTATCTTTATATAGGTGTGTTCCAATTTGTTCTCTTCTATGGCTGTGGCAAAGGGTCTTGTCGCTGGGAGGAGTTCAAATTTGCTTTCGTGGAGAGAATTTCCCAAGGCTCGACTGCTTGCAAGCTCCGTTTGTGTTGAGTCAGCTCAGTTGCAGTGCTCAGATTGCTCATTCATTTCGACTGGTACGAAAACCTTGAATAAAAAACTATCGCAGTATGCAAGCACAGTCACTTCAAGGGCAAGTGCAGGCTCCGACTCTGACTTATCTTCAATGGTTACAGTACTTGCCAAGCCGCCCTTGAAGCAAATTGACCCATCAAATGCCTATAAGCCATCTTCATTCATCTTCCATGCCCTTTTCGGCCCTTTTCTCCCGATCAAAGCGGCGTTTGACCAATTGGAGGATCGAATAGGATCAACTTATTTCACTTCGGATCGGGCAGGACTTCTGTTGGCCTGGGATTGGTGTGAAAACCTCTATCAGGGGTGCTTTGCCCCAATTTGATGGTGCCATGCTCAATTGGACGCCAACATTCTCACCTCAGGCACCAACTCTAGGCTGACTTGGCTGCAAGAGCATGGCAAGAGCATGCAACTCTGGGAAAACAACTCAGCAGCACAGCAATGCCCTTGCTTTATCGCATTTTGCCCTCTCCGGTCCATTGCCGACCTCTATATACGTTCTTTCTCAAAGAACCACCCAAATGGCAAGGTCGGCTTTGCGCCGATCTGGAACAAGACCACGGTCAAAGCTGCAAGAATTCGGAGCAGAACCTCGCTGTGTCTCCGCGCCTTGGTCTGAAAGAAAACAAACAACTGCTAAAATCAAGAAAGTTTGTTACTAGTAGTAATGGCCTCCAACCTACTAGAGCTGGCCTCCCACCTAAAAGCGACCTGAGAAGGGAGGGGACGAAAACCAGCCTCCGTAACATTGTTGTTATGGGGTGCAGTCGACATTGCACTGACCTCTACTGCTGTTAGGCACGGGGAAATAGAAGGCAGAGAGGCGCAAAGTCTTGCATTGAGGGTCGATATGATAGTTTCCTTATGTACAAGGCCTTGATCAAGGCCCATTCACTGTTAGTGGTTATAAGATAGAAGTGGAGCCCATGCGTTAGGACACAGGTTAAACTGAACAGGACGTTCACAGTTCGGCGGGGGTGCCCTTTTTCTCTTGGTTCAAGGCCGCTTTCACGCTGAACTGGGGCACCTAAGACTCTGTATTCTGTATTCTGTTTGCCTCTCCTGTCTTGCACCTGCACTCACAAACCTGGTGAGCTTGGCTCAGTGTCTTGTATGAAAATGCATAGTATTTGTAAAGATGAAGCCTGGAAATGTGCTGCAGAGTTGTGAAACGCTGTTTCTATCAGCGTTTAGAGCTTAGAGGGTTCTTGCTGTTCATAAGAGTGGACCGATGAAAGTTTAGTGCCGAAAGAATTTGCAGTATAGTTCCCACCCCTTTTTATGAGTAAGGTCTTGTTGTCATAGAGTGAAGTTGAATTTGCAATTGTTTCGAGTTTTATTCCACGGGGAATCAGAAGGCTGAGAGACGCAGAGCTTCGCATTGAGCCTCGATGTGATAGAGCCGATATACACAACGCCTGGATCAACTCCCATCCACCATTACTGGTCATATAGGATAGGCTTCGATCCGCACAATCCGGCCCCCTTGGACACGTACAGACACGACATCATTGAACGTATCCAAAACTCGCAACGCCTCCGTGAAGTCCTAGACAAGTGAAGTCTGACGCATTGGCAGTATAGAGATCCGAAGACTTAGAGACACAGAGTTTCGCATTGAGGCTCGATATGTTAGAGCCTATATACACAACGCCTGGGTCAACTCCCGCCACTACCTGTAGTAGGATAGACTGCAATTCGTGCAACAGCCCGACTCCCTTAGTCTAATCTAGCCCAGAGGGGTGCTCTTTTTTATCCGGCTAACAGCCCTTTAGCACCAAGAAAGGGGCACTCCCAAGCAACTCAAAGGTTGCTCACTGCATTGTGTTCCCTCTCCTGTCCTCTATATACCTGCAGTCTTCAATCTAGCGAGCCCCCCTCAATATGGGGCGAAGATGCAGCTGCAAAATGAAAACAGATTCCGGCTTGCACAAGTCTCGCCGCTCTGTCCTCTGACTGGACAGCCCTGCGACCACCCCCCCCACACCCCCTATACTCACTTCTTTCGCCCATCAACAACTCCAGCCTAGCCTATCGGCTGGCTTTCGTAAGTTCATAACTATATTTGTGTTTTTTTCTGTAAATATATATATATAGTAAATAGAGATTAGATTTGTTAGATTGGTATGTTTGTATACTTGTATGGCCTCTGGCTGGCCATCTTGGCACAGTTTCACACATCTACCTCTCTTGTGTTTGCTCAAATAGGAGAATGCCAATCTACAAACCATGAAGTGTAAGCAGATGTAAGCAGCACTCACTTTCACAGCAACTGCCAGCACTTCAGTGCCAAAGCACGATCATCTTCTCCTTCCTTGAGCTTCCTTGAGCTTCCTCCAGTCTCCTCTGTGGTCCTTCGCTGGCAAGTCCAAGACAAGAAGTTGTGAACGAAAAAACTGCGAAGAAGAAACAACAAAACAAACACAAAATAACACATTAGCGGAGTTTGTTGTGTCCAAAACAACAAAACTCTTCTCTCAGCGGACCTTGTCAACTGAAACCGTCGGCGAAGAACATCACGTCAAATCAGCGGAGTTCTCCAGACACCTGGGCACAAGTGAACGGGAACGAACGACGTTTACTTTTTTTCTTTGGGGGAGTTAGGCCGCTAGTAGAGGTAGGTAGTAGCTAGGTAGGTAGCTAGGTAGCTACTACTTGCAAGAAGCTACTACAGCAAAAAACTGGACGCAGGATAGCTCACGCTGTTCATTTAGTTCCTAGATGTTTAGGGAAACCTAAGGATCCGAAGCTTGCATGAAGCTGTGCAGTTGTAGCTCCAAAAGAAAGAAAATTACATCAATAGGCTAGCTTGAACACTCCACACTCCAACAATATCCATCAATCTCGCCTCGCTACCACCTCGTCCCAGGCATCTCCCCGGTTGCGTTGAAGCCCTTCCGAAGTCATCGGGACATAGAGGACACCTGGGCAACACGCGACCGGAGAAGTGTCGAGAAGCAAAGTGGAGAATATCCTCGGTCCAAAAGGCGCTTACATGCCCTTGCATGCTCTTACTGCCAACTGTTGTAAACTCTTACCTTGGCAGCAGCTTCATCAGAGTCCATATTAAGGATCAAGCGCAGGTGCTGCGTCACCTCGTATCTCCCATCCTCGAGCATATCGATGCTGCAAAGCCTGACAGCCCTGTCGAAAAGGTGTCGTGTTTGTTTCTCCACCCAATCACCCATCTTGAGCTCTTTCTTGGTCTCTTTCTATTGATCCATATATGTGTGCTTAACTTCCTTCCGTCCTTCCGTTCTTTCTCTTGCTCTTCCTGGATTCTTTATGTCATGTTGTATGCACACTCGCCTAGTTACTTTCCAATGGATTCTACAAACACTTTCTATGTCACAGGTTTGCACCATCTTGTAATCTCCTCATTGGTCCTGTGTCACAAGTTACTGACAAACTCTATTGGACAAGGTGCCATTGGGGTGCATCCGTGGGTCCGAGTGGAGCTACTGCACGGCCATTGGGCTTCAAGAGTTTTAAAAGCCAGTCCTCAAATTGGGTAACGACGAAGAAAGGCGAACAAATCTTCGTTTCCGGGGAATGTATGAACCTCCACTTGTTAATGGCTGCAATGCATTTCTAGCATGAGGTGTTCTACTTCGTTATTTAATGTGCTTATGTTTTGTGTTTCTATATGTTGTCCATATCTCTTGCAGTTTCCTCATATTCTCGCTGAGTTTTCGACATCCACCTGGCTCAATGCTGCACCGCAGTGTATGAGGTCGAAGGGTTCTGCCTATTTGCAAACAAATGGAGACATGACCTAGTTGAAGGCCATCGCTCGTAGGTTGGAGGCCATCGATCCTAGGTTGGAGGCCCCATCGCTAGTAGGTAGTATGATTGATGGAAGACTTTGCATCACCTTGAGGCTGAGAGCATCTTCACAAAGGATCTCCAAGCTGCTCGGCATCTCAGGGAAAACATGGGCCACAATCATCGGAATATACAAGTGTCCGCGTCCATTGATTGGTCAATTTACCAGGGTCCCAGGCCAAGTCTGCGTGGTGCTTGGCCACATTCTGCTTGGCTTCTTCCACTAGCTCCTGCAAATCATTACAAATCACTCCACTCCCTTTCTTCTCTATGTGGTGTGCCTTTTCAATCTCTTTAGACCTTGAGACCTTTCTTTTCTCCTTCTCTCTTTCTTCCATCCTTTCTTATCCAAACAAAACAGCAAAAGCAAAAGGCACAGTCGACTGCTTGCAAGTCTTCATCTCCCAACAACCATCCAAAAAGCTCCAAAACTGCGAGTTCATCGCAGGGAAGACAGTTCCAGGTGCTTTTTCTCGGCCTGGATATGCTCCAAGGCCACCACTCGTCCTCGGCCCTGCAAGAGCCGGGCCAGCCTCGTCTGGCAGGGGTGACACGAGGAGGGCCGACCCACACGGACGACGGGCCAACCCACTGGGCTTCCCCACAGTGTGGCCATACAGCCACTGCCGCTTCCAAGGTCCAAGACTCGCAGCCTCAGCTTCTAGCTACAAGTAGCTTCTTGTTACTAGTAGTAAGGCCAGGAGCCCCTAGTAGATTCTAGTAGCGTCCTTGCTCCTAGCAGCGATGCCAGGAGCCCCTAGTAGCTTCTTGCTACTAGTAGCAAACTAGCTATTAGTATGGCCAGGAGCTACTAGTAGCGTCCTTGCTCCTAGTAGCAATGCCCTTTGTTACTAGTAGCTTCTGTGAACTTTTGCTATTGGTTTTTGAGTGCTTGCTGTTTCTCTTGAGTACTAGACCTTTCTGTTTCGTGACGTCCGTGTGATTAACTGAAACACTCCTGTGTCCACTTCGTTCTGCTGCCAGGCGCAGCACGCCGCAGCACGCCGTGCTAAACGGTCCAAGGAGCGGACCCTTCGCCCATGGCAGATACTTTCTCCTTCGTTGATCTGCATCGAGCGAGCGGAGCGGGACGTGTGGCGGACCGGAAACGGAAAAAGATAGCGATGGCCTCCAACCGACTTTCCATCCCTAGCGAAGAACGCTACTAGTAACAGGTGCATCGCTAGTAGTAACAAGTGCCCTACTAGTAGTAACAAAAAGCTATTAGAATTAAATTAGAATTAAATTACTTCATGCTCCTAGTAGCGATGCCAGGTGCCCCTAGTAGCTTCTTGTTCGTCCTGAATCAACTCCAGTGCAGCACAGTGCACATGCGGAGCCGACACCTCACAGGGGAGCAGAAGGTGCAGGTGACGAAAATGTCGGGCTGCTTCTTGCCAATTCAGTATGGGCATTTACTCATGTTTGCTGAGATTTGAGAGTTGCGAGTTGTGTGTTTGAATCAACTCCCAGCCACCCAGGCAAACGCATATTCCCACCGACATCGCTGAATCACCTGTGCACCAAAGCCCATCACAGCAGCTGCATCCAAATAGGGATCTGAATCACCTGCAAAGTTCAGAGCATCTTTGTGAGTCACAAAGATTTCTAGACATAACCAAAAACATGGCATGAGAACACCTCACATATGCATGCTGTTTTGAACGCTCCCATTCTGTTTTGCGTTGCAAAGCAAGGAGCAGCCGCACCTAGGATAAAATCTCCCCGGTCGACACTCGCATAGGCGGCAATCGCCTCCGGGCTGTGAAGCAAGCCGTGTTCCTTGAGGCGCAGACAAAGCTCCTTGAAAGCACGATCGGAGCTTGACAATCGGAGTTTCATCCTGGGGTCCTAGATGCTATGGATGTGTTCAAGACTGGGCACATTCCAGCGAAGAAACGATTGTGGCCTTGGATCTTTGGAAACTTTCGACACCTATTTTCTGCACAGGCTTCGCAGATTCTCTGGTTTCATGGCTTAGTTCTGCAGATCTACCACTGCAAATCGCCTTCAGAACATCACAGATTGAATGCTCGCGCAAGGTGAAACAAACAAAACGATGGAATCACAGCCATACTCAAAGGTTGTGCATCAGACGCCGTTGCTGAGATGGTTGTTGACAATGGGGTCGTAGGATTGCAGCTGTCTGAGGAACACTCTTCACAAGCAAAACCATAATTTCCTGCGCTTGGATCCATGGCATTATAAGTGGCTTGCAGAGTCGCACAGTCTTTAGAGCCATTTTGCACGCAACCAGCAGTCACAAAGATCACATCACAAACACCGTTGGGTGTTATCCCTTGCTTCATTGATTCTGTATAGCAATTGCCTGAGCACTGAACTGCTGTGAAGGCCTCTGAGCCACTCATGGTTCCGCAATCGCTGCCAGTGTAATTGGTGCTTGAACCGGAGTTGCAGGTCACACCCCATGCGCCAGAAGCCCTTGAAAACATGAGGAGTCCAGAAAGCAAGCCTGTCATCTGCCTACTGCACAAGTAGCGCTCAACTAGGCTGCCTTTGAGAAAGCGTGGCTGCAAGTGAAAGCACACTGTCACAAGGAAACATTTAATCTGAGTGTACCTTCCAACCCTACATCTATATATTTTTTAAAGTAATATGTTTAATTACAAGTAGATTGTGGTCAAGACGTTCCATTGAGGTATACTGTTCTAACTACATGGCTTTCGGCTGAACTCAGCAATACTCCGCAGAAGCGGCATCGCGCCTAAGTCAGAAGTAGTTGGATAGGGCCCAGTTTTTTCATGCCAGCACCTAGGTCACCTCTTTGATTAAGTGGTGATCTGCGAGTGTCTCTCTGGACTGGCATGGAACATCAGGCAGCAAGTCAATGGAGATTGGCAATCAATGATTTTGCATACTTTGACGTTCTATGAGTGAGCTTCTATTCCAAAGAGAAAAGATCAGTGAAAATTGATATCATTTGTTGGAATCAGAATGAACAATGTGTGTGTGTGTCACGTATCATCTTCAACCCTGCCAGCTCACCACTTCGCTTGCGGATGGCGGCCGCGCACCCATGGTTCGGAGAGACGCTGAATTGGAGGCTAAGCCAGGCTGTGCTGCAATGGATCGATGGCGGCTTCTGACACAAACGCATTCGTTCAGACTTCTACAAGCCGTATGGCTGCGACAGACGACGAAGCCACAAAACATTGACCGATGCGCAAGAAAGGCAAAAAGCCAGAACTTCACCTAATGTGTAAGTCCAGAGAGGCAAAATTCCAGAAGTGTGGGATGGTTGTGCAGCATGGCTGCCAGAACACCCGCATGGCCTTGTTGCGCAACATGTCATTCTCTTGTTGCATGGCCTTGGCTGCCGCTGGTGGCTGTAGGAAGCACCATAGCCCCTCTTGTCTCGTGCTTGTGCTCTGCCTGCAAGCGTCGCCTGAAGTCTTCGGCCTGCCATGCCCGTCTGCCCGTCTTGTCTCAGACATTTGGTATGCGACTCGGAAAAGAGCTTGAGATGGTCTTTGTGTGTTTTTTGGAGACGGCTTGTTGCTGTTCTATTGACATGAGAAGCTTTCTTTGTGAAGAATTCTAGACCTGAGGCCTGGTAGATAGACCTGGGTGCTTTTCTTCTGAAAGAAAGAAATGTAGCGACGTGTCCGAAAACAAACTGCAAATGCCAACTTCAATGGCTCTTCATTGCCTACCCCGTGCTCCTACCCATCAAACAAATTAGAAAGTGCATGCGGCTTCTTCTTCTTCTTCTTATTCTTCTTCTTGTTCTTCTTCGCGCCACAACGAACCGGTCTCTCCAACGGAGGTGCACTGCGTACCATGAAGGCAGAACCGGTCTCCGACGGAGGTGCGCTGTACTGCGCTGCTCCCTTGGAACGAACTCCCTGTCCGGCGATCGACGCCATCCACTCCGAAAACCGCCGAAATGCTGAGGCATTGGCCAACTGGTGGGGGCTAGACACCCCAGACCTCTCACTGCCGTTCACTGCCGTTCACTGCTGCACCGTTCACTCATGTTTCTGATTTCTCGTGTTTGACCTGTCTCCGCTGACTACACGTGTGGTGCAAAGTGTGATGCTTGGTGCCCCGGTCATTGGCGTCTGCCGCCCAGAAGCATAGAGACTCCTTGGTAGAAACGAACAGTGTCACATCCGACACGTACCTGACACCACGTAACACGACGTGACACGTACGCGACAAGCGCGTGGGAGCGTTGACTGACAAGAATTCCCAAACTGGGATCGTGACCCTCTGTGGCTGTATGAGGATGGTACCGACCTGAAGCTGGGCTCAGTGACAGGATCCGCACTAGATACAACCACACGAGGATCCGGCCGTGGGCCAGCAGCCATTGTCTGGGCCAGAACCAAAGCTCGAAATATTGAAGCCACTAATGTCGCTGATATCTACCACATTGACACCCCTTTGACGTCACCCCTTGAATGAATGTGTCGTGGTGGCTGCCAACAAATCCAAACCAACTGATTTGCTATGCCTGATTCGCTCGCTGTAGCTCATGGACCTGACCAAGCTCAAACCAGTTTTCAGCCGCTTTGGTTCAGAACAATGTAAAAAAACAACTTTGTGCAATTAATACAGCAAAAAGTGGTTTATAGTCCGAGTCCAATACAAGAAGTATATAATATGAGTAGCAGTAGCAGTAGCAGCATGAGTATGAGCAGGAGCAGGAGCAGCAGCAGCAGCAGCAGGAGGAGGAGTAGGAGTAGGAGTAGGAGTAGGACTAGGAGTAGGAGTAGGAGTAGGAGCAGTAGCAGTAGCAGTAGCAGTAGCAGCAGCAGTAGGAGTAGTAGTAGTAGTGGTAGTAGCAGTAGTAATAATAGTAGTAGTCGTAGTCGTAGTCGTGGTAGTTATGGTCATAAGAATATTCTGGGTATCTCCACCGGTTATGTAGCACTGTGGTGCCTGACCCTGACACGACATTGTGACATCACATTCCCAAACGCTGTGTTCCGTGTCCTTTTGGCTTACTTGGGGCTGGTTGAAGATTTTAGTTCAGTTCAAGTTTTATTTAGGACGGATTGGTCCAAGGTTGATTTGGGGTTGGTTTGTGGTTTATGTTGGGTTGGTTTAAGGTTTATGTAGGTGTTGTTTAAGATTTGTTAAATTTGGGTGAGGGGTTGTTCAAGCGTTGGTTGATGGTCTTTAAAGGGGTGGTTTAGGGTTCATAAAAGTTGGTTTCATGTATATTTATTACAGTCTTAAATCCACTGGGGCCGGAGGCCGTTTCAATTGAACAGTTTGAGAGTGCGGGGGGCAATTCGTCTTCAGGGGGTAAGTCGTCTGTGGGGAAGTCGTCTTCGGAATTCGTGCTGGTGTCTTCGGGTGGAATGGTCCTCTAAAAGAATTCGTCTTCGTCTGCGGTGGAAATGTGCCAAAATGCCCCGCCCCCCCCACAGCGGCCACAATGGTAATTGATCCTTCTGGTGGTGCTGCTCTTGCGCAAAGCGCATATGAATCATGTAAGGCCCTCGAAAAGCAACAGGCACAGGCATGGCCGCCTGTTGTTGCAAGCTCTGGTATTGGGACAGGCTCACCCGTGGTCCTTGGACCAAACGCTCGCTCGAGTGAAGGGCACGGCCGTGCGACCAGCGCGTGCTCCGCAGCTTGCCGAGGTCCCCACCTCGCTGGACCTCGCAACGAGCAGCGAGTGGATGTGTTAAACTTGTCCACTTAAATAAAGGACGAGTTAGCGTCCAGTAACTGGACGCAGGATACCTTACACACTATGCATTTGGCTCCTGGAATGTTAGGGAACCAAATCTGTTTTCTTCGCAAAACATACGAAGAAGATGGCATGTGTTGAACTCGCTTCACTCCTCCATGCTGCCAGGCTTGTGCCAGGCCCAGGCTTTCGCCAGGATTCAGAATGGAAGTCATTCCCCGCCAGATGAAAGCAGAACCCTTCTTCAAATGAGACGGAATGGAAGGCCGAGACACTCTGACAGCACACCTCTTAAGAAGCCTTCTTGTGAGTACGGATGAGAAAAGAAAGTGTTGTTTCTACAGAGCCCTAGGTGTCCTGAGGTCCAAGAACTAATTCTCAAAGAGCTACGGCTTGTTGCCAAAACCGTTCTTGTCTTTGATAAGATGCTTGTTAAAAAAACTTCTTCATAAACCTGATCTTTCTGAGAAGGCCCCCGCCTGTGGCCCTGCCCGAAGCTGTGCATTCTCGCGCTGGCCAGGGAAATCAATTCGATAGAGGCGCTCCACCCAACTGACATGCCACTGTCTTCACATTAGGGCATTGCAGTTTCTCAACATTTCGACTTATGCAAACTGCAAGTTACAAACAAGGTGCAAAGTTACAGTTGTGTGATTGTTTGTCTGATTGTTTGTGTATGTGTGCGTGGGAGAGAGGAGACACTAAAAGTCACTAAAGTCCAAAGGACTGTATGAGGAGTCTTATTCTGCTCATATAGGCTCAAACCGAAACCAGTAGGAGGCCATCGCTAGTAGGTTGGAGGCCGTCGCTAGTAGGTTGGAGGCATCGCTAGTAGGTTTCAGGCCATCGCTATTAGGTTGGGGTTGGAGGCAGTCGCTAGTAGGTTGGAGGCCATTGCTACTAGGTTGGAGGCTTCCGCTATTAGGTTGGAGGCCATCGCTAGTAGGTTGAAGGCCATCGCTAGTAGGTTGAAGGCCATCGCCAGTAGGTTGGAGGCCATTGCTGTTAGGTTGGAGGCCATTGCTACTAGGTTGGAGGCCATCGCTGGTAGGTCGGAGGCCATTGCTATTATGTTGGAGGCCATTGCTATTATTTTGGAGGCCATGGCCGGAACTCTTCGACTTGATGCTTCCCACCTGCAGCTGCGACAAAATGTGTTGAAGATGGCGTGTCTCTTCACCGGGCAGTTTGCTCTCGCTTACGTGAGCCTTGCTCGGCCAATTGAGAGTCGACAAACAAATTCAGCTGAATGCCGCAGGGTTAATGGGATTGCAACAGTGTGAACAGTCACCTCTTTGTCCAATCCTTTCCATACCTTCTGCATTCTCAGAGTCAGAGTGCTCTTCCGATAACCTGCATGAATTCTGACGGACCTGCATCCGACTGTGCCCACGATGTCTCTCGCCCCCCACCTCTCAAGTCCAGCATCGCAACATGCACTGAGAACGAAGTCGTTGCGAATGAAATGTGAATATCAAGCGTATAGACAAATGTAAAGGTGAGAATCCAACAAATTACATGTCTTTCTCTCAAGAATCCACAATAGTAACAAGGGAATCGCTACTAGTAACAAGGGCATTACTACTAGTAGCTTCTAGCTACTAGTAGTAAGGCCAGGAGCCCCTAGTAGCGTCCTTGCTCCTAGTAGCGATGCCCTTTGCTACTAGTAGCTTCTAGCTACCAGTAGCACAAGAATCAAGATGAAGCCGCACATTGTTTTTGCACCAAGGCCCCATGGCCGCCCCGTGGCCCCCTTGGGGCCTTCAATTCATGACGCATCTGCTGGAGATGCCGATTGAGTCGTTGGTTTTCCTCAAGCTAATGCAAAACTTGAACACAAACCTCAAAGGTCATGTAATTTCAAACTATTTTCCAAGTGTATTGACTGTATCTGCAAGGTACAAAATGCTTGAATAGCTATTTGTTTGAAAAGAACACTCCAGTCCTTCCTGGCTTCATCCACTTCAATTAGGACGTCCTTCAAATTGGGTTAGCAGGGGTAGTTTTCCAGGCGTTTTACGTTCAGATCATGTGCCTCCAGGACGTGTCTCTCAAACTGACAGTTGATCCTATGTCCTTCAGAGTCCAACACCTGTGCTCTTGTCCTACTCACTTGCTAAACGTCCATACTGTCGTTGAACCAGCCAAATCATTTACTGCCACCCTAAGAGCAGCTGTTTCTGTCACACTATTTGTTGTGTGACTTTGATTCTTTCGAAGAACGTCAAAAACCGCAGAGCATCTTCCTCAAGCCGCCGGGAGCCGGCGCCGGCAGAGGCCTCGCAAGGTGTACATCCAACGGGTCATCTTCCGCTAGTGCCCTACATATACTGGATGTTCCTAAAAATCTAGGAACCAAATGAATAGTGCCTGTGTCCTACGAGCTAACTTAGTCCTTACTTAACTCACAAGGCGCCTACTTAATTTAGTAAAGGGGCAGAGCGGCCAATTTAACAGAAAAGAAAGGATATACATCCTGCCTGTGACAAGGACTCACAACATGCGCGGATCGCGCTTGTTCCCATGGCCTGGTAAAAATGGCAGGATCCACTCAACCCACTCAACCCACTCCTCCGAAAAGCATGTTTGATTTACAATTTAAGTCAAGAAAACAAAAACACGATATTCCAAAATGTTGGAAACCGGCTCTGCAAATTGACCTTATCTTCTGTGTCTCAAATCAAAAACCCAAGGACTGGATCGAGGTCAAACAGTTGGTGAAGTAGCGTGCTTGAAATTACAAAATGCTTTCGAAACAACCTTTTCGGGAATAAGTCGCACCATCAGTCGGAAGAAATCAACCTAAGCCCTGCCTGGCAGCTAAAGGGCAAAAGAGGGGATCCAAGAGGAAGTGCCTAATCATATCAAACTTATATAACTGGTCTTGCTTAAGCTTAAGACGATTGCTTTTGAATGAGAATCGTGCTGACAGTCAAGCTTGAGCTTGAGCCAACTTCTCACGCACGCTACAGGCTAACTCTTAAGCATAACCGCATAGCCAGACCTAAAGTATAACCCTGAAAGGCAAGCAAAAGCACGCATCTTGTTCTTTGGCTTTGATTCGGCTTTTCGTTGCTCTCCAATGCTTTCGTTGCCGTTCTTGCAGCATAGGTGCTACCTTTAAAGTGCTGTGTTTGGCAGGTTTACTTGTTGATTCACCATCAAAGGTAGCTTGAGTCTACTTCATCAAGCCAAACGCGCAGGACGATCCAATATCTGCTATACCATGCTATACCCAAGACTCCAGTTCCCCTGTGCGTGGACCTTTTGTCCTCCCAGTCAAATTCGTGGAGTGTGTTCGGTTGGAAGTCGCTGATCTTCCATCAGCCTGGGCTACAGAAAGCGCAGGAGAAATGTTACATTCGTAGCAAGAATGCTACTAGTAGCGATGCCAGGAGCCCCTAGTAGCGTCCCTTGTTACTAGTAGCAAGAATGCTAGTAGTAGTAATGCCAGTAGCTTCTTCTTCCAAGTAGCGATGCCCTTTGCTCCTAGTAGCTTCTTGTTACTAGGAACAAAGCACACCATGTATATACAGGGTGTGCAATTCCCGTGTCACCCCGAGCATGTCTCAAATCCACTGTTGCCTCGTTCTCTACCCGCTCAGCACGGCTCGCTCTCCGCACGCTCCGCTCCAAGCTCCGCTCCGCTTGTAGCTGCCATTCAGCTCCAGGAGTTCAGCATGGCCTCCACGTTCCAAGATTCGGCCTCACTCAATCTGACCATCGGGGCAATGGCGTCAGATCAGCAACTGTGGCAAACAGTTTTTGGACACAAATAGGCGAAGAGGCGATCATTTGGAAAGGAGTATGACTCGCTATGAAGGATAATTCCCTAGTGTTCACCAGGTGAACTCTATGAAGTCTTTGGAGTTCGAGATCAAGTCTTTTCACTATCCGAAATGCTCCTGGCCGGCATGAAATCCACTCAGGTTGTATGCCGCAAGTCAAGAGCATCAAACAAAAACCGAGAGGGCGTACTATAGCTCGACCCCAGCACCCAAACTTCCCAAAAGCAGAGGTGCTATATAGAGATAGATATTCACGTTGCAGTGGATTCCAAATAGTTACTATGCTTCTAGGGCGGAGGCCATCGCTAGTAGGTTGGAGGCCATCGCTTCTAGGGTGGAGGCCATCGCTATTAGGTTCCTACTCCGATAGACCATGATTCGCAAATGTGGGCCTCCATCCATGACCACAATCTGATCCGCGCTCTGCACAGCACCCAATCGCAGGTCGTGCGCCACAATCTGGGCAAAATGTATATTATTTTGCAAACCCGTTCGATACATGTCAAATAATTCGATCAAATCGATTGAGGTCCCCAAACTGGGAGTGCCAAAATTGATGTCAAAACGAGTCGAAACACTCTGCGTTTCTGCATCAAAAACTGCAGTTGTTGTTTTCGATCTAGAAACAAGAAGCTACTAGGTGGAGGCCATCGCTATTATTGGGTTAGAGGCCATTACTACTAGGAACAAGAAGCTACTAGTCAATCTCTGAGCTGTAAGTCTCTGGCAATCATTGTCCGTGGGCACTTCCTGCTCTCTGACCACTTTGCCTGGACAACCCTAATCCCATGGGTGGGTGGGTGGGTGGGTGGGTGAGTCACGGAGTCTTATCGTTCTTGATGGCATTGTCGGACTATCGTGAATTCGGAACTTCTAAGGATTCATAGATTTCTTGCAGCCAAGGGCATCGCTACTAGTAGCAAGGGCACCGCTACTAATTGTTCCACTTTCTTCCATCGACTTGGTCCCTTTGACCACTTTGTGAGCACCTGCTCCAGAGCTTGAGACACCAATGCGCTGGACTTGGGGTCAAGTGCTGAGGTTGGCTCGTCAAGGAGCAAAACCTCAAACATAAAAGTTTGCACTTACAAATGGATTTCCAGATCCAAGGCGTTCTAGAAGGATGTGTGTATAAACTACACCAGCATAGACCCACATAGCTAGGCAGAATCCTACGACCTGTTGACATGCGACTGGCTGGAACAAGAATGTACACAGCCTGCACAGCCAGCTTAAGGCACCTCACCGTCTTAAACGCGCGCTCAGCCAGCTCACAGCACCAGCACCCAGGACCACAACACCAGCACCAGCACCGACACCATGAACTTATGCACGCAACATCTTACGGTGTTGTCGCTTGAGCGTTCTTTGTCTATTAGCGCTGTGGGGTATTTACACTCTTCAGGTTCTGTTTTGGCCGGCAGCTGTGTCAAGGGCTGTACTGTTTGCGCGCATACTTTTCTACGTGCAGTGTTCTATGCGCAAGGTCAGGCTCTCAACCAACCATTGTTCCAGCGTGTGTCAGCATGCTACACACACACAATAGTCGTGTTGGATGCTGCTTGGCCTTGGATGAGTGAAGCCTACGGGCTTTGCCGTTTGTGCGCATACTTTTGTGCGCAAAAACTTATACGCGCAAGGTCATGCGGCCTTATCGTCCTGCCGATCGTTGCTTCAAGCATGCTACAAAGTCAATAGTGGTGCTGGATACTGCTTGGCCTTGGGCCAATGACACTTACGGGCCTTGCTGTTTGCGCGCATACGTTTGTGCGCACAAATTTATAAGCGCAAGATCATACGGTCATATGTTATTATTATTCCCCAAATAGGGATAGCTATGGGGTTCTTGCTGCAAATAAGAATCGCCCTTCACTGCTGCAAGCGGCGGATTGTTACCCTTCACTGTCAGAGCACCAGCAACTTGTCTCCACCACGTGCACAGCCAGATCACAGCACCAGCACCGGCTGGCCACCACCAGCACCCGCACCCGGCACCGGGCACCAGCACCAGCCAGCTCACAGCGCCAGCACCGGCACCCGGCACCAGCACCAGCGCCAGCAACCTGCCTCCACATACCCTCAACTACTTGGTGGGACCCTCGATGGTTGCTTTGTAGACCCCAACACGTGGGGTCGATCATCTTATTCACTAGGCCTTGCAGCCGATCGCGCTTAAGTCCTAGACCCTCAGACCGGGGAATTCTGGAGGGGGTCTGAAATCATTTTCCCCCACTAAGGGAAAACCAATCTAGACCTTGTCATGTGACGTCATGTCGAGCTGATTTAAAAAGTTAATCATGAAATTCTGACTCCCGTTCAAAGGTCTACAATGATCAAGCGAAAAGGTCAATGGTAGTGGGACCCATCTTAGACCCCAACCAGTCTATCCCTCGAGGGTCTCCCATTCTAGACCCTACTAGCTGAGGGTATGCCTCCACCACGTGCACAGCCAGCTCACAGCACCAGCACCAGCGCCGGCACCCACCACCAGCAACCTGCCTCAAAAGCGCGCACGGGCAACTCACTGTTATTTGAAGTAAGAACCCCATAGCTTCGCAATCTGCGGAAAAACGAAAAGAAAGAAAACAAGAAAGAAAGGTGCTTGAGCCCCCTAATAAGGCTCCCATAATTGAAGGGTCCCAATTTTTTTGATGTTCTCTTCCGTGTTTTCTTGGCTGATTCATGTGTCTTCTGAATGAAGACTGTTGAACTGGGATTCCCACAGCAGGATCCCGGAAGAGGGCTCGGGCCAAAGCGATACGTTGTCGCTGGCCTGCCAAGAGCCAACTTTAAGCTGGCTTCATGAACAGGCCATGTGTGACCATCAGCTCCCTCAGCATCTCGCAAAAGGGGAAAGGTCTTCCCTTGCTACTAACAGCTTCCTGTTACTAGAAGTAATGGCCTCCAACCGAATAGCCTCCGCCTAGTAGCTTCAAACATGGCCGGGTGGCCATGGCCGTGGCCGGATTGGCGTGGCCGTGGCCGGATGGCCATGGACGTGGTCGGATGGCTGCGTGGCCGGATATGTCCGCGTGGCCGTGGCCGTGGCCGTGGCCGGACGGTCGTGACCTACTGGCTGTATGGCCGGAAGGTCGTGGCTAGAACCCACCATAGCTTCTATGGTGGTTGCTGGAGCAGGAAGAGCAAGACGAGTTTGCATACACGCGGGCGCAGTGTAATCGATCCATGTGCTCAAACAGGATGACAGGGATGAAGTTCTTTTTCAAAAGTTTGCATTCTGCATCAGAAGTGGCAGCTGCGCAGAGAAGCAAAATAAGCTTGCGTTTACTACTAGATAGCTGATGATCTATGTCACTGCAAGCAGTGAGTCCTTAACAGAGACACGCTCTACGGTGAGTGGTTGCTTCCTGGCGGGTCTTTGCGTTACTTTGCGATGCAGATTCAGAGATGTAGCGTATTTCGCGTGATTCCAGACGCTGTGTAAACTTACTCTTTGAGTATATATCCTTTTGGAATGTGAAGCGTCCCTATGTTGCGGAGTTTTGTAGACTGGCAACGAGCTATCGCTGCGCGGGGCGGTAAGTCACAGTGTACTGACACATGATCTAGCTTCAGTGAAGTGGAAAATGTGTTACTGAGAAGAACTTTTCCACATCGAGGGTAGCTGGCTGAAGTTTCTGCGCTAGCAAACTCGAATGGCACGGCTTGGCGTGCCTTGCGTGGCAAACTCACAGCGCGCATTGCGCTGGAAATGGCTGTCGCATATCTGGAGCTAATTAAACATCGCTCTGCTGCACGACCACAGAAGGGTCGTCATTTGCGGCTGCACCCCGTGCGACCAGAAAATGCCTCCAGCGTGTAGATGCATCGGATGTTCTGTGTGTTTTTGAAATCTTTGATGCTTGTTTGCGGCAAAGGAAGCTTTGACTTACTCAGTCGTGAGGTCCGCTGCAAATGTGGCTCGCGACGAGTTTGGCCCTCAGTCACCTTCCACGTGTACCCATACCCGTCGGTTTATATACAACCACGGGCTTCGCCGTCTGGCGCGTGTGGAACAAGTTCAACAAGAAGCTACGCAAAAATTTTAAGCGGGATTGCAGACCGTGACTTTGGGGACGATGTTCTGGAAGCTTTTGCCACCATGACCGCAAGCAATGTCTACGCGAAAGTTTTTCTTCGCTTTTTGCACCATCAAGGCACGTGGAAATTCAACTTCTATCCTGCGCAACACAAGTGCGACCACGGTGACGCAATCACGATTCTGCAGTTATACATTCCACGGCGTTCAAGCAGCGATGATCATGACTGAAACCTACGTGGACAGAGATGATCATGATGACAGCAGCAGCGGCAACGGCGTAGCGAGCTTTCAAGCAGTAGTAGCGATGATCGTGATTTACCCCTCGCACGCATAGTATGCGAAGTGAGTGGAGAAAAACAAGAGCTTCTCAGATTCTTTCTTTCGCCCCCCTACTGATCACATTCATCCTCCTCATGACATTGTTTCCTCACCTGCTGTGCTTTCGGGCCACCCTGTCGCCTAGTGTCTGCTGCATCTTCTGCTTATGACTCTGCTGGTTTTTCTTCCGTTGCTGCTGCTGCTGTTCTTTTTGTGTGGCTTCTTCTTCTTCTTCGTCTTCTTCTTCTTCTTCTACCTTTGCTCCTTCTTGAGTTCGGTATTCGGCCCCGGATGGCAGTGGCCGGCTCACTGCAGTGGCCGGCTGGGCGTGGCCGGCGGGCCGTGGCAGGCTGGCTGTGGCCGGCTGGCCGTGGCCGGCTGGCCGGAAACAAAAAAACTCTATATTGTGGACTTGCCTCCGGACAGAAGCTTCTCGTCGGAGCAAATCGTGTCAAAGCCCTGATTGCAGCGTAAGAATGCGTCTCAAACATGCTGTTCATTGTGATGAGGTGTTGATGCTATGCTGATGGCAATTCCACCTCAGGCAACTCCGCGATGAACTCCGCTGCCATGGCAGCCTGGAATAGAAAGAATAGCTAGTGACAAAAGCTTGCAACTACCCAGTGAGTAGCATCATCCTGCTTCAGTGACGTTGCCTCTGCTGCGGCATGCACTTCAGCTTGAGTTACACAGGGCTGCCCCCATGCAATGTTTTCCTGTCGGAAGAAAGCTGCCACAGGCAAATGCAACAAACTTGAACACGCATCGCGATTTCACTTTGAATGCGCTTGGTCCCCAGCCGCTATGGTGCCACGAAACAGCTTGGGACTTTGGGGCACAAGTCCCATCTGTCTTCTCAACCAAACGCGGTCCAAATGTCGCACATCAGCCTTGGACGCATTTAACATTCAATCTTTTGCATGCCAAAGCTCAAATGAAATGAGGAAACATGTGATAATTTATGATAATTTTACGATAGCCTTCCGAGATCTTCTCGGTCAGTATGATTTCAATTCTGAGGAGCGTTGTCGAACTTCAATATGCCTTGCCCGTCCTGCAAGGCCGGCCACACAAACTGCCGTCTGCACAGGATGTAAAAACGAATATATAGATACTAGATGCTACTAGGAACAAGAAGCTACTAGGGGCTCCTGGCCTTACTACTAGGAGCAAGGACGCTACTAGATTTTTATCTGAACAGTCTTTATCTGAACGCAGCGCTTTGTGCTTTCCCGCCGGATCCCACCAGAATCAGGTATGCAGTGAATGGAGGTGCCTTGCAACTCAGAAGCGTCCGGAGATACAGGGAACCTAGCTAAATGCAAAAGAGTTCCTGAGGACCTCTCCTGACATGCAGAACGATTGATCTTAAGTAGAAGGCCAACGGCCCAATAAAGAAACAAGATAAACAAGGAAAAGAAGAAAGAAAGCCGAAGGCAAAAGGGTGAAATCAGGTCTGGAGCTTTAGACCTCAGTCCTCCAAGTCGTAAAAGCGGAGCAACAAGCTTATCAAAGACGATTTGCCTCCGGAGTGATCAAATATTCCTTGTCAACTTAACTTGTCAACGGTAGGAAACCGAAAGAAGTTTACTTTTTCATACGTTTTCCCTTGCTCGTCTCTCCGTTCTGTCTTTCTCATCTTTCTTCTCGACCTTTCTTTTGTCCCTTCTTTACTCCTTGCAAGAACACTTGTTTCCACTAAGAACACGGCCTGAGCCGCTGAAGCCCACCAGTGCTGTGGTCTTCCCAGCGGCACAATGCAAGGAGACCTTTTCAAGTACCTGAGAAAAGTAAAAGTATAAACTTCACACGTTGTTTGTCAGACAGTGAAAGATTGTGAAGGCCGCACCTGGTGCTTCGGCCGCGAAGGATAGGTGAAAGACACGGAGTCAAAAAGGACATCTCCAGACACCGCACCTGGAATAAAGTACTAGTAGTAAGGCACTTGTTCCTAGTAGCTTCTTGTTACTACTAGTAAGGCACTTGTTACTAGAAGCGATGCACTTGTTCCTAGTAGCATTCAGAATAAATTCGAAGGCTCTTCAGCATGCTGGAATCATACAGAACCGTCCGAACGGAGCATGAAGATATTTAGAAAAAGGGCCGAATGAGTAGATATATAGTACAATTGGAAGGGAACCAACCGACATAGCTCAAAATCTTGGGTTGCTTCAAGAAGCTCCTAGGAACAAGGTGCATCCCTGCTAGTAACAAGGTGCCTTACTACTAGTAACCAGGGTTGCTTCAAGAATTTGAATCTTAGCTATTCATCATTGTTCGTCTCTGCGTGCCTGGGCAGTGCCCTGCAGGCTCAAACACTGGACCATCTGCCAGGAGTCTCAAGACTCGTTCGGCAGAGCCCAGGGCGTCATTGCAGGAGGACCACTCCTCAAAGAGTTTCGATCGATGAAGTCGAACAAGGCTTTACGTTCGTAGCTTCTTGCTCCTAGTAGCGATGCCAGGAGCCCCTAGTAGGGTCCTTGCTCCTTGCTCCTAGTAGTAAGGCCAGGAGCCCCTAGTAGATTCTGTGAACCTACGAATTAAACGCCTTCGCTGTTAGCCCTCTCACAGATGTCCTTTGTCCAAGGACATGTATCAGAATTACATCCAAGACTCGATCCCCAGCTCAAGTGCACCTCAGATAGGGATCCCATCAAATCCCATATTCAATCCCCCAAGATTGCTTCACTTGTCGAAACATGACGAAACCAGGAATTTCTGGATTGAGCGGTCCGGCTCTGCTTTCAATCGACTTCGAACCATTCTCAATTGTCACCATGGAGCTGTCCACTGCTGTGTCCAAATACAGCAAATAGGTGGCCAAGGCCTTTTTGCAACTTGTCGCTAGTAGCTTGTAAGTTGGAGGCCATCGCTTCTAGGTTGGTGTGTGGCTTTTCCAAAAAGACTCCACCGATCTCAATGTTTTGGACTCTGGATCGGCCTGTGCTGTCATTGAGCCAGCCAACACCAAGCTGCTTCCAATCAGCAGGCTCCTTGGTGTGTGGCTGCGGCCTCCTTTCATGGTATCGCTAGCCGCTACCATCCACGATGCATCGCTAGCCAAGAAGCACCATCTGCAGTAGCAGTCCCAAACCATTGCTGGCAGCCGAGAAAATACCAAGCGCCATGCCTCATGGAGCTTTCGTGGAATGACAAAACCCACAAGACGGAGCCCACTCCCTTTGCTCCTCTCCTCTTCGACGTTGTGTCTCGTTGATGACTGCCTCAGTGCGGGTGTGTGGACTCAATGATTTCTCCCTGCACAACCAATTCAACCAGCTCTGTTGCAGCTCTGAGTCTGCGACATTCTGCTGCTTGAAGAGACGTTTGTGTAAATCCTGGACATGATGCTTCTGAAGCTTTGGGAGGGCTCAATCGAAGGATTCAAACATCAACTTTCCAGCCTCTACGATTATCATAGGGTTAAGTTAGATTTACTGCCCTTTCATTCTTTCATCAGTTCCCACCTCAGCACCTAGTGCCCGCACCGTTCGTAGCAGTTGCAGCGCTTCGCTGGAGATACGGCCCAGCTCGGCCAAGGCATCCTGACGCGATGAGGCAAACGGTCAGACAAGGTCTCATTGAGTATTTCGACTCAAGACTGAGCCATGACGGACGACTGGAAACGATCTACAGAGTTTTCAAAGTCAAATTGTAACTACTAGTAATGCCCTTGTTACTAATAGCAATGCCCTTGTTACTAGTAGCTAGCTTCTTGCTACTACTAGTAATGCCCTTAGCTACTAGTAGCTTCTTGCTGCTAGTCTAATTCAGGCCCTGAGAATTAGGCTTTACACCTGCTTTGAGACAACTAGATGTGTGCTCATCAAACAATATGCTCCCTGTCTCGCTGAGAGGTTCAATGTGTCAGCTTCCGAAATCCTGCGTCTTGCGTCCAGTGGAGCGGGTTACTCTGCCATACCACTCAGCACCTTGGCCAGCAACAGTTTTGGACAAAAGAAGGATCCTTTAGGCACGGTAGAGCAAAAAAGAAGACAAAGGACAAAGGATGCAAAAAGGAAAGTGTTTGAGCCCCTTCTTCTTTTCATTGAGGCCCTCCCTGACCAAGAACAAAAGGGGTCCTTATTAGAGAAGTCCAAACACTTTCTGTTTTTCCTCCTTTCTTCTCTGATGAACGCTTTGAATGCCCCGGCATTGTGGCGGTTGCGTATGTCCAGATGGCTCTGGTTCGTCCAGTCCTCTGTTTCTGAGTCTCCGGGCAAACCATGACCAATGTCAACATCAAAAGCACGCGCCATGTGATACTGGGTGATAGTCGCAGAAGTTCCAATAGACTGCCAAAGAAATGGGAACGAAAAGAAGTCTGATCAAGAAGAGCTGGAAGAGCCCCGATCGGAGCCTTCATCGAAATGTCCTTCAATTTCCTCAAGCTTTTATTTAAGCCCGGGGTAGGCCGCTAGGTTAGCTAGGTAGCTAGCTAGTAGAAGAGGTCGCTAGTACCTGCAAGTAGCTACTAGTATCGATGCAGGATAGCTCACGCTTCTTCAAGGAAGATCCCGCCGCCCTACAGGCGGCGGGGGGGAGCTTCCTTGAAGAAGCACTCGCACTATTCAGTTGGTTCCTAGATTTTTAGGGAAACTTAATCTCTTTGACCCCAACCCCAATGTTAGACTTTTTGCATTCAACCCTCACAAGGCCCCATGGCAGTCAGATGCACCTGCAAAGCGCCACAGCTCCGGAGCGAAGAAAAAAGCTGAGCACATCACTCCTGCATCGTTCACATGTGAGGCTCTTCACAGCTGTTGTACAAGAACGATTTGTCCTCAGTCCTCCGGGCATGTCTTTTCAATTCTTTTCATCATCTTCGCGTTCAGTTCACTTTGACATGTTTTCTAACACAGCCAGGTTGCAAGTAGGAGTAGACCGACATGCAGTCGGAGCTCAAACGAGAGGTCAACTCTCCATCCGCTTCGTCAAAGAAGCTCAGCTCCTTGAAGTAATAGCGATGGCCTCCAACCTACTAGCGATGGCCTCCAACCTACTAAATGGCCTCCCACCTACTAGCGACGGCCTCCAACCTACTAGCAATGGTTTCTCAAATTACAAAATTGTTTGATCATGTGTTTGTGAGAAAAGGTTTGTCTTTTGACATGTCTCCCCTTCCCCTTTTACATGCCCGCAAAGACAAAGAAATCCTCTTTCTCTCGTGTTTTCGTTTGCCGTTCTCCATCCGCCTTTAGATCTTTCTTTTTGTTGTGGAACATAAAACATCGTCTAGTTCATAAGGGTCTTGGCGATGGGACAATGCAACTACGTCGAATGTGTTCGACCTATGGACAGTTCAGGCTTTGGAAAACTCCGTCAATCTTGACATGAAATTGTTTTTCATGTCCAGTTTGCACTTGCCTAGGTTATTGAATGCGCGATGCCTAGGCATGTGATTGATCACCGCAGCATTTGCGGCTGCAAAGCCCTGAAGAGTCCGAAGGGGGACGAAAGCTAGGCATTTAATACCTTGCTGCAGTCGTAGAAAAGCTGCGTTGGGCTTGAGCGACCTGTTCTAAAGTTGTGCCAGCTCCCAGCGTTGGCTGCCCCGGTCCTGTGACATCAAAACGCCAAAAGCCTCTTGCCTCAAGCGCGCTACTAAGTTGCTTCTCAGCCTTAGAAGCTCCAAACAGCCTTTCTTTGCTTTTCCAATCAAAAGATATGTGAATGAAGGGCAGCTGCACACTAGAGTAGTAGACAGACAGCGTACAATCTATATGCCGTCTTGTAGCCTCAAAATTGTCAGGCCTGTTCAGAACAAATAAGCACAGGTAGCTCCGCCAGAGCTTTGCAAGCATATCCAAAGCTTTCCCAGATTCGAACTGTGTCTCTGTTTGCTGCTATTAGGTTGGAGGCCATCGCTAGTAGGTTGCGCTAGTAGGTTGGAGGCCATCCCTTCTAGGTTGAAGGCCATCGCTATTAGGTTGGAGGCCATCGCTAGTAGGTTGAAGGCCATCGCTATTAGTAACTCAAAAGAAGATTGCTCTTTTTTATTTATAGTTGGCACCGTGCCAGGCAGCATGTTAAAGGAAAAGTTCCGCAGCCCTTCCGCAGCGCCGCTCAACACAGCGACACCCGCCACGGCCGCACAGCGTGGCAGCAAAAGGTGATGCCTGCCCTGAGCATGTGTCAAAGTCAATAAGGAGCGTAGCAGGCAGAGCGTGATCACTTCACTATTTGGAGTCTTGATTTGGTCTCAATCTTCGTCTCAATCATGGACTGTCAGGCCTGCACGGCTGAGAAGAGTGCTGCTGCAGCTAAGGGTGGAGAGGCCAGTTCAGCCAAAGACGAGAGCACCAAGCCTCCCCCAACGCAATCCGAACGCGCTGCGAACACAACAAGCATCGCCTTCAAAGGAAGTTTCCTTGTCCCACCTGCGCAGCCAAGGCCAAGCCAAAGAAAATCCCTACCTCGACTGCAGATCTGCAGTCCAAAAGATCTTGTGTTTGTATGTCTTTTGTGTGTTGTGTCACCCAACAAAAAATATGAAATATATATATATATAAACTGTATGTGTTCGAAAGTTTCAGACGTTGCTGTGCCTCGCAGCAGCCGCAGAAGCTGTCGCACCAACTGCCCACGGCTTTGGTGGGTCTCCTCTCGTTGGAAAGTACCCCAACACTCTAGACGGTTCACGGCACAAAATTCGTTCAAGAAGGGAAGGAAAAACAACGGGAAACAAATATCATAAGAAAGTGCAAGGAGTGTGCTTGCTCCTCTCTGAGACGTTGCCTTGCACCAGCTCCTTCAGCAAATGGACTACACAAATCGAGTGACCCTTGTTTCAGACTTTGTCGAAAACCACACTATCCACACAACCCCGTCAAAATATGTTCAAGAATTGAAACAAACCATATTTGAAAACCAGCAATTTTGCGGGACGTTTGGTCATTTTGTGTATCAAGGCCAAACACCAGCAATCTATTCGCCTGCAGCTGCACATAGTGCAGCCCTCTGCCAGCGCTGAGAAATCCTAGTGTGAACATTCTCTGGGCTCACCAAGCCGCATCGACAAATACAAAAGCACTCAACGATCGATGCGTCCCATCCTCACACCGGCAGCATCCAGGACGAAAGGCGGAGTTTGATTCTGTGGGGATGACATTGGCCGCGGGCCTTACATCCATCAGCAAGAGGAAAAAGTTTTTAGAGATGCCTATGGTTCTCAATCCATGTTTGTGCACCAAGGAAAGAAATGTGCTCACTTGGAAACATCAAGTCCATAATAGAAAAAGAAAAGGCAGCAGCAAGAGCCGTTTTTTCTTGAATGGCGATAAAGTGTCTTCTATGGGAGTTTGTGTTCAAACAGGCTTCCCCGTAAGCTAGCATGGTCGCCTCCATTCGGGAATGGTCCGCTACACGAGTCCCAAGCAACGGGACCAACGGTCCCAACGGGACTCACGGGATCCACTGGACCTGCGGCCTGACGGGACGAAGGGGCCCGTCTCCATTCCACCGGCCAACGCTCCGTACCAGGGAGCCAAGAAGCACATAAACTGAGAGAGGCACCTGTTACTACTAGCGTGGCACAAGAAGCTACTAGTAAGGCACTTGTTACTACTAGTAAGGCACTTGTAGCTCCCAGAAGAAACAGACACTGGGCACCCTGTGCCAAAACGCTGACGCACCAGAAGCATGGTCGTCCGGCATCCATCCACGTAAGCAGTCACACGAATTTCCGACGGTTTGGACACCCTAGGCGTCCGCCCCCAACGAGGTAGTCAACCGCCTCCCTGGGGAGAAAGATATGGTTCCTGGAAAACCCACTTCACCAAGCACCATGTTCTTCGTATCATTTGCCATGTTGTCAGCCCTCTTGATGTGAGAGAAGGCCAATTGGCAGCCTCCTTGACGAAAGGAGACCGGCTGTGGCCGTCGGCATTTATCGAGTTGACTGGCTAATGGTTGTCGGAGATCAATGGGGTCCGAAGTGGTGGGCCAACGAGGTGAGCAAGCATGGCACGGCGAGTGTGGGCCGAAAGGTGGCACTGTGTCTGGCGTACCACTTCTTTCCAGAGGTGGATTGGGGTTTTGTCCTGGACTTTTGCTGGGTCCTCCAAGTCGGGGAAGGCGCCGGAAGCGACCAAAGGACGAAGTCACAAAAGGGTCGAGGAACAGAAAAGAAAAAGCGGTCCAAAACCGTTCAGGCCACTTTCCAATTGACACAGTGGTATCACCCCTGACTTGAGCCAAATGGTGTCTGCTTTTGCGAATAAAATGTGTTCAGTAATTAAACTAACTACATGCTTCCGCATGCTCCAAGTCGACTCCTTTGGTGTGTGCATGTGTATGTGTGTGTGTGTGTCTGCGCCTGGATGTCGACATCGCAAGTAAGGAGCATTTCCGCTCAATGCCATGCTTCAGAGTTCAACCGATCTGTGATGCCTAGTCTAGGTAAACCCACCAATGTCCAACAAAACATTTCCCTAACAAAATTGATACCTAAAACCAAAGATAACCCGGAAGTGCACATGCATGTTCCTACACAAACATGAGTTTCTCAGTAAAAGGGTTTATTCTCGAGCTGCAAAGGCCTTTAGAGAGATCAAGCAGTTGCACTGACACACAAGGTCGTGAGTGTCAACCTCCATGACACAAATGAATCCATTGCATCAAAGTTTATTTGGTCCAGCCCAGAACAGTCGATGGCGCGCTCAACAGCGGATGGCACGGCACAAACAAAACTTCGGATGTTTCTTTGCTAGCAGAACGGCAAAACAAAACAGCCATAGGCCCTGCCTGCACAGAAGAATGCAAGGACAGTGCGGAATGGCCATTGGGTCTATTTAGGGGACTGCAAGCAGTGACACTCAACAACGTGCACACAAATGAGGGTTTTCAATGTTTAATGTTTGATGACGGGCCTGCTGCTTGCACCAATCGCAATCCCAGCTTGCATTGCTTTGCAATACTGTGCTGGGCACTAAACGCATCTAAAACACCCACAAAGTCGACAAAGCATCCAAGTGTCAACAGAATCTAGCAAGAAAAGGTAGCATCTCACTAACACCTCCAGCACCATAGCGTGCCATAGCAGCATTCCTCCCTGAGGAATGGCTGGAACACAGCCCAGTTGCTCCAACTGCAATCGTCCATTTGTTGAAACCTCTTCTTTGAAGAGATTTGATCTCACAGAGATCACTCGTAAGTTGTCACTAGGTGGTCCTTTCCGTCTTGAAACACACGGACGCTGAGATGTGGAGATTGGAGAGACACCGAAAGGACTAAAAACTGTCCTAGAGTCGAACGCGGCATGGTTGGACTCTGGCCTGCTTGGGTTTGAACCCAAAGATCAGACAGCATCCTCCCTGGAAAGGCAAAACCTAAGAAGCCAAAGGAAATGGACACCTACCTCTCAAAAGTAAATAAAAGTAACACAACGTGCCTTATTCAGAGAAGGACTTCTAGTTCATCTTCGCGGCATATTGAAGTGACAGTTCAACGATCAAACAAGCATGATATAATAGTGTGTAGGACGATGAATTCCCCAAAGTTTATGAGTGTGTGCGCCACGACATTTAAGCAAAACGGCGTTGTGTGGGCACTCAAAACAAATCAAAACAACCTCCGAGCTGTATGGACGCTAGTAGGTTGGAGGATGTTGGAGGCCATTGCTACTAGGTTGGAGGCCATCGCTCTTAGGCTGGAGGCCATCGCTAGTAGTAGCTCAAAAGAAGATTGTTTTTCTTAAAATTAGACAACTTAATGAGTCCTTTCCAAGGTTCTGGCGTCACTTGCTCGCCTTTGGCGTGTGACAGGGCGCCAGCTGGGTTGTCTGACCCAGCAGCCTTGCAGCTCATGGTGGGCAGGTGACTGTCGAGTCATAGGAATCATGGGTCCCAAACCACCAAAGCAGGAGAAAAGGCTATCCGCGGCACAGTTGGTGCATCCTTTCAGCTGGGAGAGGGAGAGGAAGGAGTTGCCTCATGGTCTGCATCGCTTGGAGTTAAGCGACATCTTGATCTGTGACATAACAATCGTTCAAGCCGGCAAATGTAAGAATCCAACCTTTTTTCCCAACTTTTCCAACTTCGGCCTTGGTCGGCAGCGGCCAAGGCCCTCTCCCCTTTCGCACACGAAGCATGCATTCAACATTCCTCGAAGCACTTCAGGATGCGGACGTCTTGGGTACTCGCAACGACCCAGGCATCACAGGTCCATCTTGGCTATAACGGACCTGGACCCAAAAGGTCTACGAAAGCTGAGCCCAAAACCGCCTTCTGAAAGGCACCGCCCTTTGGAAAGGTCCATGAGGCCGCAGCAAAAGCAGGAGCAGTCGTTCCCTGAATCTCCTCCGTCACACGGCTCGTTCAGAAAAAAGAAGGTCACCAAAAAACAGCGTTCTCGTCTTAGAAGAAAAAGAGGGGTGTCCTTGCGGACTTCTTTGCCTCCATGTGTCTTATACCAGTCCTTAGATAATGTGTCTGGATACGTGTGGGCAAACGTACGTCTTCCGGTGCTTTTTCTGGATATGTGCGAGTGCCCGTGTTTGATTCACCCATGACGGATTCCAATGTGTTTCGGTGATTGCAAGAGCAACAGTTGTACCAGTGTCTCCAAGTTGCAAAAATCTGGTCCAAATGATTGCATCGAGCCTGCGATGGGGTGCAGCGCATGAAGTGTAGTGCTTGCGTTTTGTCAAATGGTCCTCTTGGGAACCTCCTAGATCAAACGTGTGCAACATTTTGCAACCTGCTCTGGTGTAAGAAGTCCAGTTGCTTCCAAGCGCAATGAACAGTGCTTCAACCTTCTTGGAAGTTCGAATCTTCAGACCAGTTGCTCCATGTTGTTCCGATTCTAACAAACGATGATGAACTCTTGACCTTGGAGAGAGGCTGCCCGCCTGGTGCGAGAATTCCTGCATCCCAAGAAATTGCTTCAAACATGGAGATGAGACACTGACACTCTCTAGAATATTTGAAGCTCTGCTTCAAAAAACCATGGAAAGCAAAGATGACAAAGAGAGGACGAAAAAGAACTGCTTGTTCAACGAAATCGTCAAGCCAAAACTACTCGGGTCCCTGAGGCGGTGATCACCATCCAAATCCACGTTCAGCATCAAGCGCCTCTCGAAATAGGGCGTGTTGGCGTCGGTCGAAATAGGTCAGACACGGTGGAACTATGTGGAACTGGATCTGGCATTGTGATGACATGGGTTTATAAAGCTAACAAGTATGTCAAAGAGTGCCAAATGCTACTAGTAACAGGTGCATCGCTAGTAGTAACAAGTGCCTTACTAGTCGTAACAAGAAGCTACTAGTAAGTGAACCCTGATCTCGGATATCTCGGATCTTGTCACCTCAAGGAGGTATCCATCTCGCTCCGCCACTGATATCGTGTTTCAGTTTGGCTCATCCTGGACACTGCTCTTGCTCCGCTCCAAGAAACAAAGTCCAAATGGCCAATGCAAAGCTCCTCACAGGACTTGTTGGCTTTGACTTTGGAGAAGCCTCCGAACGGCTCACAAGCAGTCACTGTATAAGTCACTAGTATGAGTCCATCTATGTGTGTCATTCGTTTCTGGCATCTGCCCAGCCTCTTCACCTGGCGCAAGAACTGGTCTGAGTGAGACGAAAGCTCGAAAAAACGTTTGGAAGGGCACAGGTTCTCTTCGCTCTCCCCCTATAGTAAGTCGCAAAAACCACATAAAAGCGCAGCGTGATCGTCAATATAGCGACGGCCCGAAACTAAGAATGACTTTTGTGCCATTCCGTTTCAAAAAAAATAAACCTCCTAAAACAGTAAAAACGTCCCATTTTTTTCAGCGGCCCAAACAACTTAGAAGCAGTGCAACAC